ATATATACAAATACAGATATATTGTGAGCAAATCAAATTAAATTTTCTCTGCACTGTGTGAATTTTCTCTGAATGTGGGAACTGTGTGAATTTTCTCTGGTTGTGATCATTGTTTGTAATTTTCTGAATTTTCTCTGGCTGTATAAATTTTCCTTACCTATGATCACTTTGTGAATTTTCTCTGGTTGTATGAAATTTCTCTAGTTGTATGAATTTTCTCTGGTTGTATGAAATTTCTCTGGTTGTGATCACTGTGTGAATTTTCTCTGTGCTCTCTCTCAGATTCTCTTCTTTTTTTGGAATTACAACCACCTTTCAGCAGGTTTGGCCCCTTTATTTATTTATTTAATATATCATCTTTTATATCACTTTTTTGGTAGCAAATGGATTCTGGAAACAGTGTGAATATGCAATCTTCAAGTGGTGGAGATGAAGAGTATAATTCACGGACTGAGTCAATCTTTTCTTTCTTGAACCACATTTTTGGCTTCATTTCCAACCACCCACAACCGCCTCCTCCACAACCGCCACCACCTCTCTTCCACCACCAACAACCCACTCTGTTTGACTCTCAAGCACGCAATCTCAGGCTTTTTTTCTTTTTTAAATCCAGAGAAATTCTTGCGAAAACCAGAGGAATTCTTTGAAAATCTAGAGAAAATCTCTAGACTGGAATCCAGAGAATTTCTTTGAATCAAATTTTCTCTGGAGAGAAATTCTCTGGACCGAATTTTCTCTGGATTGAATTTTCTTTGGAGAGAAATTCTTTGGACCGAATTTTTTCTGGATTGATGTTGAGGGATCTTAGACATTATAAAAATATTTGATGTCCTTTATACTATAAAATCTTAATACCAGGGACCCTAAAAAAAATCCCCTAATTTTTTCCCCTTATTTTTATAATCTTCTTTGTGTTTCCTTTGCCCTGATGACGTAAAAGTTCAATGGGAAATTGCAAATTAATGGTAACTAAAAAAATTTGCAAAATCTTAAAGAAATTTCGTCATTTTAATTATTAAATTTGATAAATCTTATCATTAATTTGTAATTTATTTTTGAAAACTTATACTGAATTGTAATTTCTCAGAAGTTAAATTATAGTCAATTTTTCCTTTTGATAGGAGCCCCATGCTCTAAAATGCATAAATTATCCTATAGAATCTTTTATTTCTATGTGATAAATGTCTTTCCAAATGTATTGGGTTATGTATTTGGTTTTTTTTTTTTTTAAATCTTCTCCCATATTTTAGACAAAATAATTTTGTATCCCCTTATTATATCTTATTATATTGGGGCCACATAATTACCTAACAAGTAATAAGTACAAAAATAATAAGTTCCACAGAGAGAGAGAGAGAGAGAGAGAGAGTAGAGCTTCTCTCTTTAAGAGATTATCGACAGTTCTCTGGCGATACTTCAACAACTTCCTTTACACTTCTAAAGTGTAGATCAATACTTCTAGAGTATAAATCTGTTATTTTAAAGCGCAAATTTGAACTTTTTATGTCTGAAATTAGGAATGTTCAAATTACCTAATGAACCTAAGAATTGAACCAAACGACCTTTTTGGGTCAGTTTGTTTTTTAAGTGCATTAGTTTGGTTTTGGATTTTCAAATCATCAAAATAATAGGACTGGGTTCGTTCTTAGTTTAGGCTTTACTAAAACCGAACTAATCTGAGAACCGAACCTATTTATATATATTTTAAGATTTTATTTGTATTAACATGTCTTCACCTTATTACTCTATTACAATGGACTTGATTACACTTAATAATTTTCATATATAAAGATTATTAGGTAAACCAATGAAATATTAGAAGCTTGAGTCAAATTTTGCAGTTAATTTAATTTGTATTTTTGTAATAATGGATTTGATTTATATTTATTATATTTAAACTTGAGTTCGATTTAATTTGTATTAGCTTGCATTAAATAATATTTTACTTTTTGTTTGTGTTTATGTTTAAATGTTAAAGACTTGTCTATTTTAATTATTTATTATTGATTGGTTTGCTTCTTTTTTCATATAGTGGAACCGTGGTTCCAATCTGAACCAACCTGAGCTATATTGGGTTGGGTTGGTTCTAGTGCATGATTGGTTTGGTTCTAGGTCTAAAAACTTGGAATCGATCATAAATGGGTTGGTTCCAAATTTATTATCAAACCAAACCAAACGGATTCATGAACACCCTTATCTGAAATAGGGGTTTGAAAGTTTTTTTTCCTAATTTTCATATAAATTTTTAAATTTTCAACACCCACAATGGTTTTCTCCTCTCTCAAACCTTCCCTTATACCATTGTGGGTATATTTTCTCCTCAACTCTAATTTTTGGCAGTATCCAAAGTATGACGGCAGTGGCAGAATTGGGCAGCAACAGCGGGGACGATGTTGATGAGGATGACGGGCTTCAAGCGGATTTTGCTTGGTTTGATGCAGATCTTACTTTCCAGACTACATCTTTAAGAAGATAAGTGATTTTCCTTAGCTCATAGTTGGTTTTTTTGACGAATTTATTGTTTTTTGTTGTTTGTTTATTTATTTATTTATCATTTTGTTGTATGATTTGTATGGCCCTTAGGGGTCTTATTTCTGTGTGATGTTATTTTTAATATAAATGTTTTCTATGGTCCCAAAAAAAAAAAAAATAATTGCCTAATAAGCCAAACCTATTAAATATTTGGGGGAATTACTTGTTGAGCAGTGATTGGTACCACTAATTTTAGAGTACTAAGGGGTGTTTTGGAAAGTTGGTAAAAAGTTGGCCTTTGGCTTTTTACCAAGCTTTTTGGTTTTTTTGAAAATGATTTGGAAAGTTGGTAAAAAGCTGACTTTTTTGATTTTTTGTTTAATATTTTTTAAAAGTGTCACATCACTCCAAAATGACCAAAATATCCTTACTTTTTGATTTTTAAATTAATTAATTAAAATGTTCCAGAGGGTAATTTAGTAAATTTGGGTGCTGCGTTCTTGGATCTTCCCAAATGGGATTTTTTGCGTTTTGTGTGTGTTTGGCGTTTTGGGAAAGCTCTCAAAAAGCTGCGTTTTGGGAAGGTTGCCAAAATGGCACTAATAGCTCTAATAAGCTGGAAAATAATAATAATAATAATAATAATAATAATAAGATATAAGGCCAAAACATCTCAGACCCACACCAATACTAGAGCTATTATAGCTCTTAGATTAGTGGTCTAGAACATTTTCCATACTTGTTAGTGGTGTGTTAAAAAGTTATTTACAAAATTATGAAAAAATTTATAATTCTATATATTAATATTTATAATGAATATCATTAATTTTAAAATAATTTTTTAGCTATAGACTGATATTTTCCCTAGATATTTGAGCATGATAGATAGACATGTTTGATGTTGATTGATTATTGTTGTGAATCCCAATCCTTAACACGCAAGAGATTTAAATCAAATATCAATTTTTTTCCGATAATATTATTAGAACATATTCTCAATATTCTGCAAGGGTTAAGTTGTAATTTCATTTGGTTGAGTCATACGATGCTTTGCTTGAATCACAAAATCATTTCATTACACTTTTATTTTTCATTTTCTTAATATAAATTTATCTTTGAAAGTAACCATTAAAGACACAAAACATAAAAATATTAAACATATTTCTAATTTCAACACCCCTTCCATATCGGTCCAATACCTCTACCCTCCCTTTACTACTTGTTACCACATTTGCCACATTTCCTCATCTTATCAATCGTCCCCTAGGCACCCAGCCTCGTCACCACATTTGCCAACACCATCGAGCCTTAGATCTTGAGACAAAAAGAAAAAAGATGGTAAGTGTAAAGAGATATGTGAGGTTAAGGTTGAGAATAAGTTTGGAATATTAGGTGCAAAGGGATAAAATTAATTTGTAAACCTATTTAATTGGTGTAATAATTAATGGAACCCTAATACACATCTCCAATTTCTGTTCTTAAGTAAAAGGATAAATTATAAATATACATTTTAAGATTTATTTAAAATACAAATTACCCTTTGTGATTTGAAAAATTATAAATATCTCCTTATCATAGTTTGTAATTTTATTTAATTAGAATTTTTTAATTTGTTTTCAAACTAAATTATTTACCTATTTTCATTAAGTAAAATTAACAGAAAATAATATTTTAATCATTATATTAATGTAGGCGTATAGTTTATGTCTAAAATACCATTTTTATTAAGTTTAATAACTAAAATATCATTTTTTCGTTAAATTTATTTAATAAAAATAGATAAATAGTTTAAATTAAAAATAAATCATAAATTTAAATTGATAAAATTAAAAATATAAGATTTATTTTGTTACATTCCTCAAATCCCATATTTTTTTTCTTATAATTTTCTTAAATTTAAATAAATGAATTTTTATAATAATTTGTTTTAGCTCTAAACAAAAAAGACAAGTCACGTAGACATGAATTCCAGGTGCATTTCTATAATTTGATTTAAATTTGGATTGATTTATAAAATAAAATAACTATTTTTAACTGCCAACCAAGCAAACATTTTATAAAGGGTAAATTACAAACTCCCATCGAGATTTGGTAAAAATACAGATTCTCTTGAGATTTAAGAAATTACAAATTGTCTCTGAGGGTCAAATTTTCATAATAAATTAGGAAAAATTAGAGAGAATCTATATGAAAATAAAAATCTCAAAAGATAATTTGTTATGAAAATATAAATTTTAAAAGACAAAGGCCAAGTTTGGGAAGACTAAATAAGTGTATTTTTTGACTTTTTATGAAATATGGGTTGAATTTGGGTTGGATTTGAAGTGATGTGTTAGGGAGGTGATATGACTTAAATAAGATGATGTGACTTAAATAAGATAGTGACTTTTTGACTTTTTAAATTTTTTGGAGGATGCCAAACTTGACCAAAATATAATTTCTCAAACTTCAAGAGAGAATATGTATTTTCACCAAATCTCGACCGGGCGTTTGTAATTTACCCTTTATTTTATTTTTAAACACCGTCGATAAAACGTAGATCGGAGCGTCACGAGGGTTTCTCTCTCTCCTTGGTTACACCAAATTACTCGCTCGCGTTCTTGCGATTGCGAGCTCTCTCTCTCTCTCTCTCTCTCTGCAGTTAGCATACTGACCCAAAATCTAGGGTTGGTGATTAGGTCTTCTTCTACGCCATTTTTCTGGGTACTGATCGATAGAACCATCACTGTTTTTCTTCATTGAAATCGTTTCCTGTATATAATCAAGAAAGATGAGTGTAGATCTGGTCGCTTCCAACACCCATGGGAATCTCGACGAGCAGATTGCACAGCTCATGCAGTGCAAACCCTTGTCCGAGCCTGAGGTACCTCTCTCTCTCTCTCTCTCTCTTTCATCTTTTGCCTCTGTTCTTGGTCTCATTTGCGATTTCTTTTGAATTATTGATTTTTGTTCGGTATGGGTACTTGCATTTGAGGCTCTTCAATTGGGTTGTTTTTGTTTTTTAACTTTTTTTGACGGATCTGGGTCGATTTTGTTTAGGTGTTTGTGTTCTCAATATAAATGCTTTATACACACATAATAAATATGATAGATATTCATCTGTAGACATGTGTATATCAGGGGAATCTTGGATGATTTTGATGTGTGGTCTGCAGTTTGTAGCTGAGATCGTGTTTTAGGGCACGATGATGGATTTAAATGGTTTAATTTCTAATTTAATTGTTGAAGAAGCTCTAATTATGTTATTTCTTAATTTTTTTTTTGTTGGTAAGATTTTGGAGTTACGTATCAATAAATAAATTTTGTGGTAAGTTGCATCGCAAGTAATCTAAACAAAATCAAGATTGAAAGAGGGCATTCCATCTGGTGACTGATTATTTAATTTAAAAGCTTTGGAGGTGTCATCTCGTGGGGTATGCCTCTCAATGTAACAAACAATAGAAGAGGCATGCTTTTTTTCTAGCAACAACTAAACTAACCGGTGTATGTAACATTTCGAAATATTTAACAATTCATTTTACTCATAGTAAGGGTTTTGTTACATGATTTGCATTCTTTGTTGGATTTTCTTTTAGTCGAAAAGGAGGAAATCATCATCGTAGTCATGATTATGCAGTGTTTTGATCGATATTCAGATGAGTAGGTTATGGTATTAATAACAATTCAAAAGACGTAGGATGGCAATTTATTCTGATCATCACTACCCTACCCTTTCTAGACAAATGATAAGTTATCCCTCTTGCACTTGATGTTGCCATGTGATGGAACCTCAATGGTTGGCATTGAAAGATGCCAGATAGGATACTTAATTGGTGTAAAGCATGACAGCACTACAATGGCTGGCTTTTCCTTGACAAAAAGTTGCCAAAGAGGACCCCTAATGCTGTCATTGTTTTTGGGTCACGTGATGTTATGGTGTTTCGGACATAGACCGATATATATAAATAATTATACATTATATATATGTATGTAAATATATGCATTCTCTCCGTTAGATGTCTTATTCCTTTTAACAGGTATTTCTATTTGCTTACTTAATGTTGTAGAATTGATTTAAGGGCATTATTTCTTTGGTTGATATAGGTTAGGGCATTATGTGAGAAGGCTAAAGAGATACTAATGGAAGAAAGTAATGTTCAGGTATAAATCTTTGTTCTTGCTGTTCTGATATTTCTGAAATTACTATCTATTATACATTTACCTTGTAATAGAATGGAATGTGAAATATCTTCTCCAATATTGCTTTGCTTTTGTGTCATATGTAATATTCATGTAATATTCTTTCTCTGTCTATCTTTCTCTCTCAACTTGCGCTCATGTGGACATGCACGCACAAGCAAATACACGGACGTGTATACTTGTTGAACTAAATTTTTAATCCTACGCTTCTACGTGTTTCTTCAATTATTTTCTTTCTGTGATACATGGTGTTGTGCTCATAGGTAGTGGAAGCTAACCATGATGGTTCTTCTTATATAAGTTTTTTATGTACTCTTATCAGATGCCTTTCTTTTTTTTTTTTTTTTTTTTTTTTTTTTGATGAAAGGGTGTAAAGACAAGTGATTTCCACTGTTCCCATAGCTATATGTTTTGTGTTTCTTGATGCAAGTAGGGTGATGGAAGTTTAGGCTGTACTAAGCCTTCAGTTCTACAAGTTTCAAGCAATGTAAGATGCAATCATGATTTTGCTACGAGAGCACCAGCACAAGGCAATAAATTGTGTTTTGGGTCCTCTTATCGGCATGGAGATGGTATATGGAATACCATATCTGAGTTTTTGTGTTTTGTGATCGATGTTACTTGAATTGCTGATCATTTCATTATATGCAATGGGAAGGGAATGGGAGCTTGCTGTGCCATATTTTCTCAAGGTTTCCATTTGCTTTTGGAAGTTTGGTGTCTTGGTACTTGCCATGTTGAATTTTTTATGTACCAAACCTGTCTCCAATTCTCCTTTAAAAATGTGTATCAAATCAGAGTTTCAGTTCATTGTTTTAGATGCTTCTTCTTACAAAGGAAAAAAAAGTGATAAAAGAATATTAAACTGTATCTAAGATCATTAAATTAGTGATGTGCAATGTGACCGTTCCATGTTCTGGAAAAGTTCGTTTTAAAATGGAAGTTGCTAGGATTTCAGGTTTTTCAGAATTTTCTAATTGGCTTTGATGTTGATCAATTATGCAACCCACTGGCTTTGTTTGTGGCTCAATAAACTTTGCTAGTGGTGCCTTCATCACTTCATGTTTCATCATGGCTTACGGAGGTCGGCATTCTTGGCATGAAAATTGTTGGCTTGGTGTTGATGGATGTGGTGGATCATGTGTCTGGAAGATGTTATGGGACAGGAAATTGGTTAAGAGTTAATTTAGATATGATCATGATCTTTGGATTTGCATAAATTATGTAATGTGAATATCTAGAAGCTGGCTGCTTTTAAAATTTTCAGCTTATCAACTTTCATTACTTGGGTTCCATGGGTATTACTCCCTCTGTCCCATTTTGTTGGTCCACTATTCTATTTTGAGATGTCCCAAAATGTTAGTCCCATTTGAATAGTCGAAGTAAAATTTTTTTGATTTTCCAAAACTATCATTGAAAAGACAAGGGCATTATTGGAAAAATGCTTTAAATTTTGAATTTAAGTGTATTGATTACATGCCCCCTAAAAAATTTGGAATTCCTAGAAGGGACTAACAAATTGGGATGGAGGGAGTATATTACTAGCCAATCCCGCTATACCGCAGACTGACTAGCAATGAAACATGGAAACTTATTGAACATCCTTTTTTGTTTATATCAGAATTTTAGTTGGAAATTTGTGTATTCTTAAGGATCTTTTTTTCCCCTATATACTAGATTATTTTACATCATGATAGTAAAGCCCAGATTTCAAGGACCTTGATATGTTTGTCATCTTATTATGTGGAAATGATTAGTCTTTTGAGTTGTAGGCTTGATCCTGTATTGAACGAAGTTGAATAAAGCCTGTCATTTGTTATGGGGGTTTTGGGTATTATTTTCTTGGGTTGGTGCTCGCTTGGGGGGTGGGGGTTTGAATTTATGAAAATCTGGTTTCAATTAAGGTAGAAAGGTGTAATTTAAAGCTCAATTTTCGACCCCAAATGAGCCCGTGTAAACTTTGCTGCAGGCTTAAAGCTTTATCTGATCAAGTCTTATAGTGGGTTTTACTTATCTAGAAATAAAAAGAGTTTTAGCTTGAGTATTCATCTTTTAATGATGAATTTTTTTTGGCATACTACAAAGGAAGAATTATATAGACTCAAATTACATAGTTGCATCCCATGTATTTGCATAACTAACAAGTCAAAGGAGGCCTGTATCATTAGTTCATTTATAGCATGCTATGAGCAAACTGTATATATAGGCAAGCTCTTTAGATTTTGCCAAAAAGTTGTAGAATTTTTCATTTATTGGAATTATGGTCTGTGTAGTAGATCAACATGCCCTAACTCATTGAGTACATCAAATAATTGATTGCAGTTTCTTCACGTTCACTTCACATAATCTTGGATTCCAATTGTTTTTGGACATTTTTTTTTGCGTTTTGTGTTCTCCAATCTTCACATTTTGTCGCATCTGAATGTTTTATGTTCTTTTTTTCCTTTTTCTTGCCATGCAGCCTGTAAAAAGTCCTGTGACTATTTGTGGTGACATTCACGGTCAGTTTCATGATCTTGCAGAACTTTTTCGCATTGGAGGGAAGGTATTTTTTTTGGCCATGGCATATCTATTCTTGTATTTTGTGTTTAGCTACGAGAAGTCCATTTTGAGAACAGGTTATTTTAGTAACTTTTTGGCTTTTTAACTAAAATATGAGGTAAAAAAAACTAGTATGTTTGGAATGACTTTTTTAGTTTTTTACGAAAAGATCTGCAAAAAGTAAAGAGAAAATGGAATCTTGGACTTTTTAGTATATGTTATTGGCTTTTTGATTTTTTTAGTAACTTTTTAACTTTTAAGCTAAAATTGTTACTTGCCAAACGAGGCCTTAGGCAGGTTGATTTATCTTATGCTTTGTACAAAATCCAGTGCAATAAATTTTAATTCATTGACAGTAAAAACAGAAGTAATTGCTTATCTACAAAATATAAGGCAAATAGTAGTTTGGTTCTTTATTTCACTTTGAACACCAACATAGCAAAACACGTGTATTATGCCCATTTATATTGCATAGTTGTATTACTTATGAGAGAGCTTTAGAAACCAAATTCTTGAACTTCACTAATGAGGGAAGAAAAAAGAGCAGACTATAAGGATTAGAGCTGGCTGTGGTATGGGTAATACGTATTATGTTGTCATCCCTAAAAGCACATTGCTAACCTGATTAAATCAAATAAGAGTTATCATGATTATTGGACGATTCTACTCAATCTAATGTATGGTATTCATAAGGTAGTTTAAAATCTATATTCAAAATGCTTGTCATCTGTACCCCAATTAAACTGTCTCATGACCTTCTAGTTATGGGTATGCACCATTATGAATGTGTCTTTGCCCAAGTATACAGTTCTTGAGGGCTCATGTAGGCTAATTAGTGGAACATGAAAACTTCCCAGATTTTACCGTATTGCTGCCTTGCATTTGTTAATCCTAGTTACTTCATGCATTTGCTAGTATTATTATTCAGGTCATTCCTATGATTATTACCGTATTATTACCATATGTAATTTCTTGTTCGCAGTGCCCAGATACAAATTACTTGTTCATGGGAGATTATGTTGACCGTGGGTATTATTCAGTTGAAACTGTCACGGTAAGTACTTGGTGGATGATGTCTCCTTCTACTTGGACTAAAGAGCTTATTATTGGTATATGTTTTTCACCATGTTATTTGTTCAGTCTGATACGTTATGACTTTTGGCTGTTCCTAATTTTCTCATTTTATTCAGCTTCTGGTGGCTTTGAAAGTGCGTTATTCTCAACGAATCACTATTCTTAGAGGAAACCATGAAAGTCGACAGGTATTCTGTTACTTCAGTGCCATTTTTTCTCCTGTGAAAGTTGAATAAGGGTTCAATGATCATGTTGTTTACATTTTAATATTATGAACCTTACTGTTAGGGACTAAAGTTTCTGGAGACATGATGTGAGAGTACACTTGCATATCTAATTTGATCTGGGGTGGTTGTTTTTTTACTTCCATGTATGATTCTCCATTATACGTTTAGTCGCCAATGATGGAAGCTATTGGTTTCTCTTCTGGCCCATGTCTCTTTTGTGCCTGTTACTTTGCATACCGCTGGGCTTTTGAATTGGTGTTTATGTGGCTATGATGATTGTGTTGTCTTATTTGTGATTGGGATCCAATAATCTTGCTGTTGGGGAGTTTTTTAAACTGAGTGAATTTGGGAAATATGGGATGTATAGTATACATAGGCCAAGTTTGATTCGCGGGTAAAGGTGCGGATTGGATTAAATAATCTTCGTTTGGTTCAGATTTTCTGACCCGGAATAACTAAATCCTGATGGGGCCTTTTGTCCTGCATATGCAGGATTCTTTTTGTCCCAAGGGGAGGGATGGGACAAATTACCCCTGCCTGGATAACACTTTTGTTGCAAAATTCCAAAAATGCCCTCCTCGTGATAACTTATCCTTCTTAATCCTTTCCTCAAATCAAACATGACCATAAGGTACTATTTGTTTGGGCAAAGTTACTAAAGAGCCCTTTAAGGATTGAGGAAAAAAATTGCATTCATGAAAGACGAAGAAGTTTTGTAGCAAAATTCCAAACAATATATTTATCCACCCCAATTTTTGGCCAAAAAAAAAAAAAAAAAAAAAAAAAAACTAAATTTTAAACAATAAATTCTTCATGTTGGATACCCCAACCATTAACCTTTGCATCAACTCCATTATAGAGGCTAAGTGGACAAAGTAATCCTTTTGTTTTTAAGGCTTTTAATTCCCCTTCTGCTGTGTGTACCTAGTTGTGTTGTTTGACCATCGAGTTCTCTCTCTTTCTCTCATTGCTACATGTGTTTGCATGTTGTCTATTAACAATGACACGATGAACATCACTGCTTGGTGTTGGTTAAAACATTTGCTGTTATTCTTAATGTGTTTAAATGGGGTTGATGTGGGTTTTGCAACAATAAAAACTAAAAACTAACCATAGCAAGAGTTGCACAAAATATGAAGGCAGAGGTGTCCACGTGAAAAGAATTTCTTGAACCAAGGGATTGGTTAGATAAATGGGTACACCTGGAACAAAGCAACCTGAGCCTAATATTTGGGTTTAATAGCCAGAGGTAAAGGACTGGTTGGATGAATGGGTGTTTGGCTTTTGTTTGATACACCTGGAACTCTGACCAGATTTCAAAATTGTTGGTTGAATTTACTCATAGATGGTAGTATAGATTGTGGTTTGGTCCAGGGGGGAGATAGGGATGCCTGCATTGGATTGCTCAAATCATTGAACGGGTGGACAGTTTTTGTCCTAGAGTTGGAATTCCAAGGGATTGAAGGTTTGACTTTACAAAATTGCATTTTTCTTGTTTGCTGCATCTATACAAAGCCTGGTGATTTGGCTTGACAATATTCAGAATATCTTTGTTAGGATTTTTTTGATACAGAACTCACTCTTTCTTCTGGATAGAATTGTGTATGAGGGAACATGTGGCGGCCTCACTATTGTTTCAGGACCAGTTTCGTCCAACAAGTTACTTTCTCCCTTTTAGCCTAGAATGTTCTTATTTTGACATATTATTGTTCCATACATAACTAAATCTTATCGCACATACCATTGGCTGAATAAATGCTATCTTGTGCAGATTACTCAAGTTTATGGGTTTTATGATGAATGCCTACGGAAGTGAGTCTCTTATATCTATTTGTTATTTGAGGTGGCAGTTGAATTAATATGTACCTCTATTTACTGCCTAATCTTGCTGAATATCTATGTATGTGTGTGTGTGACAGTAAGACGACATATTAGTGCATGCATGATAAAATATATATCGAAACAAAGGCAAGAAAAAAAAAACGTCTAGTGTTAACGGTTAGTAAATTTATATTACAATTCCATAAGATAGAAAAAATCTTGCACAATGTTTCCATTTTTAGTAAACACAAGGTATATGCCTAGTGTTAACAGTTAGTTTAATATCACATCACATCTATAATAAGGTAGAAACGAAGAACACATCAAGAAGTGGAGTTTTGACTTGACATTCTGATGTTTTGTAGCTGTCAATAGTTAGGCCTCGTTTGGGAATAGGCTTTTTTAGTAACTTTTTGGCTTTTTGGCTAAAATGTGATGTAAAAAAAACTAGTATGTTTGGGATGACTTTTTGACTTTTTACGAAAAGATGTGCAAAAATTAGAGAGAAGGAAATTTTTGACTTTTTAGTATGGATTGTTGGCTTTTTGGTTTTTTTAGTGATTTTTTGACTTTTTTGCTAAAAAAGTCACTTGCCAAACGAGGCCTTAGTACCATCCTGGTGTTTGAATATCAATTTATTTCGTTCCAATGTATTTCGGAATGACTGGGCAAATTAAAATGTGTAATGAATATCCAACATAATGCTGAAAAATCATTTACCTAGCTGATTTCAAATAGTTAGGCAATGTTAAATTCAATTAGAAACGCCGATGGACAAGGTTCTGATCTATTTTATAACCATAATTTGCTCAAACATTCCTTCTTTCACAAGCATTCTAAAAGTGTAGTGTCACAATCTGCTATCTCAATCTTTCATTGACAATTTCTGTGGGATTGTGCAGAGAATTTCTCTCTTCTTTTTTTGTTTTTGTTTTGTTTTTGTGACTTTCTTTGCCGATTCTAAATGTATCCAATTTTTTTACAGGTATGGTAATGCTAATGTTTGGAAGATATTTACAGATCTTTTTGATTATTTCCCACTTACTGCCCTGGTTAGTAGGATTATCCCATTTCATTGATGTATTATTGTACCATTGTCTTATGTTTATTTTGCAGTTTAATATCTTCTTGTTTTCCCATATTGTCTACTTTTTTTATTTATCTATTTTATAAGCAGAAATAAGGTATTGGCTCCTTATAATACGGCAATCCTTTTATTGATTCTAATTTATTTGAGGATAATGTGGTTTACACAGCTACCCAAGAACAGCATGAACTGTGCATGGGTAGCGTATGAAACGGTTCTGTGATGCCATGTAGTTCAGTACATCCAACACGCAAACAAATTTTGTATACAGTATTCTTGTTAAATTGAATGTTATTTAAACATATTTTTTTTTGACTTTCCATATTAAGGATCTGGTTCTGTTTATAAGCCGAAGCTTGTTGGATATGTGATCCTTCTGTTTCAGACTTGTATGGTAGATTATATTTTACTGTTCATGTAAAATTGACTGTTGGGTTATTAATGTTGTAGGTTGAATCAGAAATATTTTGTCTGCATGGTGGATTGTCCCCATCCATTGACACCCTTGATAATATACGGAATTTTGATCGTGTTCAAGAAGTTCCACATGAAGGTCCTATGTGTGATCTGTTATGGTCCGACCCTGATGATCGCTGTGGTTGGGGAATCTCTCCACGTGGTGCTGGATACACTTTTGGCCAAGTACCTTTTGATATTGTTCTTCAGCTTCCTTTTCTATGCTATACTCTTCAAATCAAATTATGTATCTCATTTGCCTTAATATGTTCTTCACAGGACATATCTGAGCAATTCAACCATACCAACAACCTAAAACTGATTGCTAGAGCTCATCAGCTGGTTATGGAGGGATTTAACTGGGGACATGTAATTATTTATACTTCAGTCTATTGAGTTGTCTCCTTTATTTATGGTGTCTTTTGGGAAGTTGGCTTTTGCTTAATTGACCGTCATGTCTGCAACAGGATCAAAAGGTGGTCACTATCTTTAGTGCACCCAATTATTGTTATCGGTGTGGAAACATGGCATCTATTTTGGAAGTTGATGACTGCAAAGGACACACATTTATCCAGGTCTCTATCACTCCCCCTATCTCATGACAATTGAGTATATCTATGATATTGTCTGATTCTATAACCTAAAATCAGTTGTAAATGATGTAAATACTCCCAAGTTGTTCTGAGTGACACTAAAATTACATAATAAGCTAAATTGTTCATTGTATTAAGCTTTCCCCCATCCAACATCTATTATTTTTCTAGAGCATTCTATCCCAAAATTATTCTGCAGTTCTTACAAAGTTTATCCTTAACTATGGGGTCGCTTCCAAAATTAGTCATGCCATGGTGAATAATTAGATGCCTACTGGAGGACATGATATACTTAGCTTCAGTTTGTTGGATAATAGATTGGAAAAGTAGTTTAATGTTCTTAATGTCTTTGTTGTTGCAGTTTGAGCCAGCTCCGAGGAGAGGAGAACCTGATGTAACCCGAAGAACGCCTGATTATTTCTTATAATGCATCTGCTTTTGTTGCTGATCTCAGTGGCATCTGCATATGCTGGATGAGAGGTAAGGTGGTAGTGGCACAGAGGTACAGTTGATGATTGGATTCACGATTACTAAACTGAAAGCTTGTTATTGGTAATGGTGGGAGGCCCAATGGCATGTAAAATGGGCAGAGCTAGGGGCCCCATTTAGCTTTAAATTATGTTCTAACCTGCGTTAGATTTCCTAGGACTGGGGCAGTGGGGTTGGTGATATGCTGTAATGTAGTATTTCATGCAGGACTTCTTATATTCCTTTGTGTTTTTATTTTATTTTTAATTTTTATTTTTAAAAAAACAATTTTTGGTTCTATTTTCTTTGTTTAAGGGGGTTTGAGGGTGATGATGATGGGGTTGTGTAGAGGTAAGATACAAATTTAACTTTTTAAGTGTGTTGCTCCTAAGTTTTTTGTTCATGTGTTTTTTGACTGGACTGAATTTATTCTGATAGCTGCTGATTTTTTTTTGGTTCTGAATTTGCATTGCCAGTGTTAACTGCATAGAACTAGGTATTGTGGAGAATATCAATGATCAATCTTGCTGGGATCACTGATGTGATACAATTCATGTTGAATGTGTTGAGCTGTGCGTCGGGTGAATGAGATCTAGGCTGTCTTTTGTTGGGAATTGAATTTGGAGGTTATCTTGGGTCATTTTGTAGAACACTGTATTTTTCTGTTAAATTTTGATGTCTAAGATGGTTCTCCCTACTTTTTAGCCTAGATATATAAATATTTACATTTTTGATCAAATTGAGTAGATAGTAAAGTCTATACACAAAAGGAGTGCACCTTTGCAGAATTTGCGGGTGGTCCAAAAATTGATCCTTCCCAACTGGATTGTTCTTTTGGATCTTGAGAGGGTTGCTAGAGGTTTTTATGTTGGCGTTAATTTCTTCTCTATGTTTTTATTTATTTATTGGTTTTTTGTTGGCAAAAATTAGTTTTGTTGTTAGATTAGAACTTATGGGAGTTGGCCTCCTAATCTTTGCAAAGCACCAAGTGTTTGTTTGTTAATTCAACTTCCTCTTAGTGAGAGTTGAACTCAGGGCCTTTCCTTGGTACAAAGTCCTTAGAGAAGTCATGATGGCTAACTAGGGTGTTAATTTTGTTTTTTGGTGAAAGTGTCGGTGTAATTATATAAAAGTTGTGAGATGTACAATTTTTGTTTCTATACTTTAGGTGAGATTAGTGTAATTTTACCCCTAAAAAGACAAGAAAAATGCTCGCATCTTTTTCCATTCACTACACGTCATGTGGTTTCTAAAATTGGGTTAAATACAGTGAGCATGGTTTGGTTTAGGAATAAGCCAAGACCAAACCATTATATATGGTTATGCGAAATCTAGAACTAAATTAAATCATAAAAATCTTAAAAATCAAACCAAATCAAACAATGAAAATCTTATAGACTGAAGCAAACCGTTGGAATTATGAATTTGAGAAATATTGCCCTTATTTACAGCATTATTATAAAATATTGTTCACAATTTAAGAATTGTTGATCAAATTGTTTAGAATTAGTTTTACTATTAGAGAACAAATTTGCAAGAGAAATAATTAGGCAGGCCTTGAGGTAAGGTGGGCAAGCTCGCGGCCTTGGGCTTTTGAATTTTGTCTTAAAAATAGGGTCTCAAAGTAATTTTGGTTTTAAGTTATGTTTCATTGATTATTTCGCTTTTAAATTATGTTTGGTTTATTGAAATGAAGTTGAATAGAATAATTATTCCATTATAATGTCTATCCTAATGCTTGATTTACTGAAAAATATTACAAACGCAATCATCATTTAGCATTGTGAGAGAATATTCATTTTTTTTTTTTAATAAAAAGATTATGAAATGATCATTCTATTTAAAATAATTTCATTTCAGTGAATTAAATATTACATTACAGTTTTACTAGTTTAAAAATAAAGGTTTACATATAAAAAAAAAAAATTTAAATTGGTGAATTATTTAAAAGTAATGAATGATTGCTTGTCAAATGCATGAATTATTTAGGGCAAATTTCATTTTGTCTCATGTGGTTTGGACCGTGTGCGGTTTATCTTTCTAATATTTGGAAATGTTTACATAATCTTCATATGGTTTGTGAATTGAAGTGTACTGTTAAACATTTTATTCAACTTAACAGCAAGTATGAAATGTGACAAATATAAGGGATTGTATGCTCATTTTCAAACTTTAAGGGGTTAAATTGTAGATGGAATATAGTAGAGGGGGGTTAAAGTGCACTTTGCTTTATAAACAAATGACGAAAATATTTGTAATTCACACACTTAAGTTACTTATATACAGAGATATTTTAGCATTTTTTATTAAATCATTAACGGGCCTAGCGGTGTACTTCAGTCCACAAATCACGTGGGGGTTATGTGGTCATTTTCAAACGTTATGGGAATAAACTACACATGACCTAAATTAGAAGAGAGTAAAGTGAAATTTGTCAAATTATTTATAATATATTGTTTAACTATTAATTTTACAATTTAATATACTACGTTAGGAAAAAAAATGTAAATAAATCAATAATATTAACAATTGAAATGTTCAGAATTTATCTCCATATTTATGATTTATGTCAATTTCAATGACTGATTTATGTCAATTATAAAAATTATATGAAATTGCTCAAGAAATATCATATTATAATTATTAGGAAAAACAAATTATATTAATTAATTTACTTACTAATATAAAAATTTAAAATTAGATTTCTCATTTAATATTTTAAGTGGTTTTATGGGTAAAAAATAGTAATTTTAATATTTATATATACAACAAATTTGTGTGGGTACAATAAGAAGGAGAGGATTGTGCTACGGGAGGATCGATAGGAAATTGTGATCCATCCAATCAACATGGTGACAAATGTGGGCTTTAGGTCAGTAGAAAACGAGCCATCTTATTCCTGTGACCAAATAACTCCTCCCATTCCACACGAACGCTAAATAGTAGACGCAGTCGGTTGTGTCCATGTACTCCGAATTCAGTTGGTTTGGTTTTAATTTTTTAAATTTAATTTTTTTAAATTTAATTTTTTATTTTTCGTATTTTTATTTTTATTGAATAGTTTTAAAATTTTAAGTAATTTTTTTATTTTTATTTTTTTAGATGCACGTTACTTAGATGTATCTAAATAGTAAAATATTTGAGAAATTTTTTTAAAAAAAATTAATAAATATACAAAAATAAGAAAAATGTATTGAATTTTTTCATTTTTGGTGTTTAGTGAATTTTTAAAATATTATTTTCACAAATATTATATATTTTAAGTGTATTTATATTAGGTGTGTTTAACTATTAAAAAAAATTGGTTAAAATATTAAAAAAATTCATTGAAAATAAAAAAAAATATGAAAAATAAAAAAGTAAAATTTTTTAAAAAGTTTTTTCTGAAAATCAAAACTAAAAAAGTTGATTATTATTGAAGAGCTCCACTAGGTAGTTATGAATGAAGATCAGTCAAGCCTCAGCCAACGGTTGCACAACCGGCATTAGTTATGAATTAGTTGTAACTAGAGCTAGATATATTAGTTATAGTTTAGTTAAATATAAATAGCAGTTGAGCTAATATGATTGTATATATAAGATGATAATCATATGTACTTGAGATTCAATCAATATAGATTCACTTTCTTCAAAAAAAAAAATAAAAAATAAAAATAAAATGATTGTATATATAAGATGACAATCATATGTACTTGAGATTCAATCAATATAGATTCACTTTCTTCAAAAAAAAAATAAAATAAAAATAAAAATAAAAATAAAGGATAAATTACAAACACATCTCTTGAAATTTATTTAAATTATAAATTATATTTTGTAATTTTAAAAATTACATTATACCTCCTAAGATTTTTAATTTCATAACAAATAGGTCATTTTATTAATAAATCATCAAGTTAATTAACAGTTTTTAATAATGTTAAAATTTTATTTCAATTAATAATTCAGATAATTTTATTATTGTACAGGTGAATAGTTAGAAATTTTATTTTTTCAATTAATTCTGTTAAATAAAAAATTCTGATAGGGAGGTATTTGTAATTTTTCAAACCACAGAAGACAATTTGTATTTTAAACAAACCTCAAAAATATATTTGTAATTTACTCAAAAATAAAAGTAAATTAAAGACTATTATTATTTTACCAATATATATTTTATACTCTATATTCTGAGAGTCGAGTCTCTATACTTAGAGAGGTCTTTTGACAAGCTAATTAAAAACTAACTTTTAGCTTTTAATTCATTTTAGTTCACATCACTTCTCACAATTTTTACTTATAAAAAGACTTTTAACCAACTTTTTAAATCACCCCTAATTTGCTTTGGGCTCTCAAAAAATCATAATCACTCCTATATATAATTGGATACTAATAAAATATTTTAATGTTTATGATAAGTAACAAATTATGTGCATGTATATATATAAACGTTTCAATTTCAACTCGGTTCCGTAAATTATGAAACCACCACCTGAATCATATAATGTAGTTAGCTTATTTTAAGAACTAGGACTAAATTGTGCATTGTCCAAACCAAACCAGATTGTGCAATTTGACCTGAATTAGACCGATTTGCAATTTTTCTCCTTTTTTTTTTCCTGCCCTGAAATACCCTTGATTCCCGAAGTATGAGCCCCAATACTAAGGGTGAATTACCAAAGCAATTAACCAGTATGAAAACCACTAAAAAGTAGGGTGAATTACACTAACAGTTTTTATAATTTGAGGTTCATGTTATTTTGGTCTATGATTTTTTAATTGTGATATATTTGACTTTGAATTTTGAATTTTGAATTTTATTTCAAATAAGGACAATTGAAAACCATTGCTTAATTTCAAGGGTAAAATCGTTAATTTGATATAACATAAACTAATTTGACAAAAATACATGTCAAAAAAATATTTTTGATTTTTTAAAAATTATTTTTACTCACCAAAGATAAAATTATATAAAATTGATAAATTTACGCATTTATTTATTTATTTTACCAAATTAATTATTATTGTGTGTTTGGATATGATCATGTAATGGGTGGTTGTTAGGCTTCTAATGTGTAATCGATATATTTAATATATGAAATGTTTTTAGTTTCGGATTTTTTGATTTAATAGATTGGTTTAATAATGATATTAAAGTTATCGCCACATTTGACTTTTGAAAAAATAGAAACTAATTTAATGAAAATAAAAATAACCAGACATGATTATCATCTAAACACATAATAAAAATTAATTTTGTAAAAATAAATAAATAAATAAATGTGTAAAAGACTTATCAATTTTACATAATTTTGTCTTTAGTAGGTAGAAATAATTTTTAAAAATTCAAAAAACATTTTTTTAAATTTTTTTGAATTTAAGTGGGTAGAAATAATTTTATCTTTAGTGGCTTCGTTTGATAACTTTCACTTTTAGCTAAAAAGTCAAAAAGTCACTATAAATTGTCACATCATTCTCTTTATTTTTCTGCACAACTTTTCGTAAAAAATCAAAAAATTACTAAAATAACCTGTTCCTAAACGATGCCTTAGGCCTCGTTTGGGAATAGGCTAATTTAGTAACTTTTTGGCTATTTGGCTAAAAAAGTAGGTAAAAAAAACTTATACGTTTGGGATAACTTTTTAACTAATTACGAAAAGATGTGCAAAAAGTAGAGAGAAAAGAGAATCTTTGACTTTTTGGTATGAGTTGTTGACTTTTTGGCTAAAATGATAACTTTTTGATTTTTTGGCTAAAAAAAAAATTCCAGTATGTTTAGTTCATAACACAATTTTTTGGCTAAATTTTCATCAAAAAATTATTTAAATTTATTCAAAAAATACCCTTGCTTTCATTATAAAATGTGGACATATATTCGAAACTATTTAAACACAAATTGAACAAATCAACAACTGAAATATTAAGGACTAAAACAATAAATACAAATCCCTTGGCAATCAACACTATGTTCAATCCTCTATGAAAAGGCAACAACTATTACCATTGTCTCTAGACCATAATTATTGAGGATAATAGGCATATATAAACTCCGGAGAGAGGGATAGCATAATTGGCAATGGGTTTGCTCTTCCCATAACTGACTCTGGCTTGACTCTTGTCGATCTCTTTCCTTTGCCTCGATAAAACAATTACAAAGTGCCCCTTGATCGTTGGGTTTGGGCTCTCTTGAGGTGGGCCTAACTCATCCTGCCATAATAGAGTGAATGAAGCGACATGATAGATATTTTAGTATTCACAACCATGTCGGCTAGTACTAGCATTAACCATTCTTCTCTCGAATGCACTGAAAAATCTAATGCTTATTTTTTGTTTTTGAGTCCGGTCTAAACTCTTTTTATGTAATGGAGTTGATTCTTACTGTGCTTAAGCTAAAGATTTTATGCTTGACTAATTTACAACGAGTTCAAACACTCTATTATTTAATTTTGACTTGACTCGTTCGACTTGACTCGATTAGATTGATCACAAAATAAAGAATGAGGTGAAACCAAAGTTTCAATTTGTTTGCATCCATATCTGTCATGTATTATATGTTTATCTACCAGACAATTAATATTTGTATTGGTCAGATGTGTATAAGAACTCCCAACAAAACATTTAAAAAATACTAGAAACTTGGGAAAAAAAAATTGTATGCAACAATGTAAAGGAAATTAATAACTGGAAAATCCCTGCATTCATATTCACAATGCCATTCCTATATATATATTTCATCACAGCAAAAATTCACACATATATATATATATATATTAACACAATGTAGAGGTTCTAGCTCCCAAATATAGGGGCACACATGTAATGAAGCATGTAGCAAGAGACTAAATATAAGCCACATTACATTATATATGCATCAAAAGATGACAAAAATACTCATCCGTTTGATTGAAACCCTACATGGTCAATCTTAGGACCGGTTTTTTCCGGGACCCAGATCGCGGATCTCTCTTAACCTTGATCAAACGGCTCAAAACTCTTGCATAGTGACTCACCAGTCTTTTGCACTTCATTGATGATCCATCCAAGTCCTCATCATGCTGCTGCTTCACCACCATCTGAAGCTGCTGCTGCTGCTGCTTCTCTTCTGTGAAATGCTGCCCCAGTGGACTCCTCCCTTTGATCAGCTGTTTCAAGCTTTTGTGATGATCATTCTGATCTTTAATGGACTTTTCTTCTTCTTCTTCTTCTTCTTCTTTTTCTTCTCCTTCTCCTTCTTCTTCGTTGACACCGTCACTTTTTTTAGGGTTTTCTTTCTCTGGAGAGAAAGAGCTCGTCTTCTCGGGGCTCTGATCGGCTTCCATATGGAGATTCAATGGTTTTCTGGTTCTCTTTGACAAGTTAATATCATAGTGGGGTGGTTTGCTTGGATTGTACTCACTTCCCATTTGCTTAGCAGCTTCTGATTTAGTGCAAAAATAAAACTCCTGTTTTAATCACAAGTAGAAAAGAAATGGAAAAGAATGAAATCAACTACTATGAATGAATCAATGAATGTGAGTTTATTGAGAGGTTTGCATTGTGACCAATTTAAGAGTGTATTTTTTGGGCCATTGAAAAGGTGGAATGTCTATTTACTGATGGTTTACCTATCACTTCTACTGATTGATTAATTCTCCTATAATTGTAGGTAAAACAAACAATGACAAATTTCATTGTGTCCTAATGCACCATTTTTTAATTATTTATTTATTTAAATTATTGATATATGACATTACAGTAATGTCTCCAATGTATTACAATCATAATAAATAAAAAATATAATAGATAAATAATATAAATAATTTCTCAAAACGAGAGAGAGAAACTTCAAACAAATACGCACAAAATAAGATTCATATGCTAATAAGCAAATTCAAATCATTAATCTCATAGTGAAGTGCATAGGTCCTATCCAATGAGCTAGCCCTATTGGTTGTCCTAATGCACCATTGGATGGTGAAAAATTAACAATGTAACCTTCAAGCTGTACGCCAAACGAGAGAGTTGCCATGTATCACGGTTTTTTTATTTTATTTAAATTATTGATATATGATATTATAGTGATGTCTCCAATCAATTATAATCATAATAAATATAAAATATAATAGACAAATAATATAAATAATTTCTCAAAATGAGAGAGAGAAACTCCAAACAAATACGCACAAAATAAGCTAGCCCTATTGGTTGTCCTAATGCACCATTAGATGGTGCAAAAATTAACAATGTAACCTTCAATCAAATTCAACACTTGCGTGGATCAACACAATAAATAGCACGGGTATATCTAGAACTTTGTAGTCTACTAGTGCATAAATAGAATACACAAAGTTTTACAAAAGAAAAAAATAAATAAATATAAGGGGATGGACCCACCTTTTGTCTTTCTTTCACATTTTTTTTTTTTTTTTATGTTTTATTTCTATATAATTAGCACAATTGAGAAAATATTGAATTATTAAGTTCTATATATATGTGCACACATCATTTGTTGTGTTGATTCACATAAAAATTGAAACAACTATTGAATTCATCTGGTAATATGTAACATTTATATATCATGTTCCTTATTCTAAGTAGCCACTTTGTTTTAGGTAGGTGATGTTGGTGCCTTCAAGTAGTTACCATTGAAACTAAGGCTATTTCTTTTTCATTGCTTTTTGTTTTAGCATTCAAGTGAAAAGTCATGCATAATGGGAGGGGCAAGAAAATTTCACATTATATCGATTTGGTGATTTTGAAAAGACTGCTAGCTGTTTTCCTCAAAAGGATATACAAATATCAATTATATATATATATATACTTTGGGGTTTAGAAATTTGACTATTTTAATTAATTTTTTTCATTATTTTAAGTTGGTTAAAAAAGTCATGTTGGGGATGATAGTCAGTGTGTTTGGTTTGAATTTTTTGGATTAAGTTTTTTAAAAATTGAGTTTTTTGGTTTTTGTATATTTTTTTTATTTTTAGTGAATATTTTTAAAATTTTAAACATTTTTTTTACTTTTTTGGATGCACCCTACTTAGATGTATTTAAAAAGTAAAAAAATTGTGAAAAAATATTTTAAAAAATTAATAAATACATAAAACACAAAAAATGTACTGAATTCTTGTATTTTTTTTTGTATTTTTGGTATTTAGTGAATTTTTAAAAGATTTTTTTTATAATTTTTTTTATTTTTTAGGTGTATTTATGTTAAGTGTGTCTAAAAAGTAAAAAAATTACTTAAAATATTAAAAAAATTCAGTAAAAACAAAAAAATACGAAAAATAAGAAAGTAGAATTTTCTGAAAAATATATATTTTTTTTTAGGTTGTGAAGGAAAAAATAAAATGATTATAATTTAAATATGATATTTTATCTTATTAACTATATAAGTTTATTTTATCTTTATTGATCATTTTAGCAAAAAAAAAATCTCCCAATCCAAGTTCCCAAACATAGAGAAAAGGCGTGCACACTCATATATACTGAAATCGAGAATTACACATTTATAGGTATTTGAATTTGGCAGTTGCACTGAAGGGCATTTATAGAAAACAAAAAATTATGGCATTTTATTTTCATACCAAGTTCATATAGACATGATATAATAGTATAGAGGGAAATTCTATAATATAGATATTGCTTCCAATTCAATTAGCCATATGAAATGGAATTTCCATTTGTTGATATATCTATCTATCTATACTATTATATATGTGAGTACATGACTTGATATTTAATAGTGTGGTGATTTCTTCTTCTGTTACGTGGTAAATTTTTCTATCCTAAAATAAAAAAATATTATTCAAAGGCATTAGTAAGATTTGAATCCAAGATCTTAGGTTTTATTAAGAACGCTCTTACCATTTAAACAACATACATAGGGGTGTTTTGACAAGTTGGTTAAAAACTGATTTTTTGACTTTTTTGTCTTTTAGTAGGTAAAAAATGTGAGAGGTGATGTGACCCAAAATATGTTAGATTCCCAAATGAGCCCATATTCTGATATTAATTTATTTATTATTTGTTTTTATACTTACTTATCTGAATTGTACACGCATTGCGTGTGCCACCCGTTAGTATATATATACATATATAGGTCGGGCTTCTCTTTAGTCTATAAGATCTGGAGGTTGTTGTCCAGAATTGTGGGACCCAGCATAGGTCTCGTTTCGATAATCTAAACGGCTTATTTTGTAGAGCTCTTTAGGTATATTATCCACACAAAAAATCAAGTTGAACCGATAATTGTAATCTATTCAATTTATCATATTTGTTTCTAAATAAATGGACAGTATGTCTATTTTTAAAAATAAACCGTCCATTTTTTATTTTGTTTTGTGACAAATAAGATAAATTGAGCAAATTACGTTTATTGAATCAATTTAATTTTTTTTTAATAGAATATATAAATAAAGGATCCTACAAAATAAGCGTTAGAATTATCAAACAGAACCCGTAATAAATTTCACAAGCCTAGATAACATCCTCCAATTCAGATCTAAACTAGAGGCAATTCGCCCTATATATAAAATAAATGCATAGCATGACCCTTCACCATATTTTTCCCTTAATACTGTAGACACTGAACATTAATTTGTTTGGTGAGATAACCAACATTACACACAACTTAAAACAATATCATCACTTTACTATTATAACCTCCAACAAAGACATAACACCTAATAAAGGGTATATTCTTTATATATAATTTGACACCAACGTAGGAAAAAAGAAGTGGGAATAAAACGAAAGTTAAAGCTGAAATGAAAAAATTCGAATCATCACAGTTAATTAGGTGATTGCCTTCAAATTCCGAAACCTATTGAAAACATAAGAAACATGTATAGTTTTTAAGAGCTTTTTATGACAAGACTTGAATTTTTGACCTCGTAAGGGATTGCAAGAATTTTGTCTAACTCGATTAGCTCGAAGTGATTATATTCATTTGCCAAAGCTATAATTTGATTAGACTTCAAAAATTCAACTCCAATAGAGCTATAATTTGGCTGGATCTCAAAAATTCAACTCCAATAGGTCATATTTTGTGTCAAATATGATTCAAGATTTGTTTCAAGTCATTTTTTTTTTTTTGGTTGCATTTGGAGCCCACAAAAATAGCTCTAACTAAACTTTTTCTCTATATTTCTCCTACACTATAGGAGCAATATTACTGAAAACACCAGTTTGGCACTGTAGGTAGCTGAAAACTAGTTTTGAAATTATTATTTTAAGAATGATTGACTTCACACAATAAAAATGAAAATGTGTGGGTATTTTTTTTTTTTTTTTGGGTGGATAAATTACATTGACCCCTTTGAAATTTATGATAATTAGAGAGACCACTTTTAAGATTTTGAAATGACACTAACCTCTCTTGTTAGTGTTGTTGATTGGATGTTGTTAAAGAAAAGGGAATTTCTATTTACACAACACATATTTATCTCTTTATACTTTCCACTTGAGATAAAATTTTTCCCTCAATTTTATTCATGTGTGAAATTACTTGTAAGGACAAAAGATAAAAATTAAATAAATTTGATTATTTCTTTACACCTATTGCACTTCAATCCATACTTTTAGTCTTTTCCCATTTTTTCTTCTTTACTATATTTCTACTTTCAAAAAGTGAAAATTATAATGTTTTGATCATAAAAGAAAGTAATATACAAATAAATCGTGATGAAGGACCAACAAAAAAGTAAAATAGTGAGTTTTTTTTTTAATTTATATTTTATGTTTTCGTTTCGTTTTTTAAGAGGGCTATTCGATTTTTGTTTGGTGCATCAGAACTGAACAAAATCAAATGACTCGAAACTATACTGTCGAACAAAAAATACTTATCTAGTAATTCATTGCCAAACAAAAAATACTTGCTCAGTAACCTACTACTAAACAAAAAATACATGTCCGGTAACTAACTGTTAAACATTTTCAGTTTCACTAGCCTAACATTTTTATTTTTTTGCTTTGAAGGATTATGCTACTATTCATTATAGTAAGGCTAGTAGTGAATTGTTAATAAACTATAGTCATGAATTCATTAGAGATAACATTTGTTACATTTATCTACTTTCTGGTCATCCAGTACTTTCTAAAGCAAGTAATTAGATTCGTTTTCATCACTCTGTGTATGAATAGATGAGAGAAATCATATACTAGCCGTATTGATCAATTTCATGCACTTGTCAGCCTTGATGTAGTGACTATCGAAACTATCAACATAGATGGATTGTGGCAACATCTCAGTGTGTTTTTATAGATATTTGTATTGACATATTTGACGATATTTGTATTGATTTTTATTTTTTATGTTTTTATAGACGTTTGTACACTTCAAGTCTTTATGGATGCTTGATAGTTTAATAAAAGTGAATTTGTAAACGTGCAGCAACAGATGGCTATACAAATCTAATTTGTTTGGCAACATGATACCGAAAAAATCCAAATTGTTTGGCAATGTATAGCTTAGGCCCATTATAAATTTAGAAGAAAAAATTATGTTTCAAGGAAAGTGAAATGACTGGACAAATATAGTTGTTCGGTAACATAAC